AATTTGCCCGTCGCCTCCCAGCGCCAGGAGGCGCCCATGTATCGAGGAATGGGCCCGGCGGCGGGGCCGAAACCAGCTGCATGCAGCAGATTTCGTAACCTCCCCCTTTCCCTATCCCCCCTTTCGTTCGGCCCGAGATATGATTCGGAAAAGTATCAATCAAGAAGGCTGGGCCAGCTTTTCAAAAGTTTCGCAAGGAAGCGCTGGGCCGGCTTTATGGAGCCAGGAACGTGCACCATATTCATTTCTAGGATCCAGAGCTCCCAATCCCCGCAAGAAACTGAGCCAGCTTTCCGGCAAGTTGGTTAAGAAACGCTGGGCCAGCTGTTCGGGGGGAGGTTTCTTAATCATAATCGGGACCGTACTGTAGGTTTAAGTCGGGCATGTCCAGGAGGAAAATTCGAAAATAGTGAAAACATAATCCAGGGACGATTTTCGACTAGTTTTGACCATTTCATCCAGAACCCGCCTGTAGGAGGACACGCCCGACCTGACTGTAGGTTCGTGCGGCGTCGGCGAGCGGAACGGTTTCTGACACCGCGTCGATCGTGCAGCCTTGAACCGATCGCGACCCCGATGGCTCAAGGCTGAACTCCGCTGGGTCCTGTGGCGTTAAAGGTGCCCCTCGGTGCTTCCGCGTCGTTCGATCATGCGGAGCTCAAACTTGAACGCGGCCGGCTCTCCCGCCGGCTCCCGCTTCCGGCGGTCCCCCGCCGAGGGCCCACGGGGGTCCGCCGCTCGGCTCCCCCGAGGGCGAGGCCCCCTCGAGGGCGAGGCCCCCTCGCGGGCGAGGCCCCCTCGCGGGCGAGGCCTGCTGGGCGATCGCCACCATCTCGGCGTCCAGGCCCATCTCGGCGATCGCCGCCTCGTCCTGCGCCTTCTGCCTGAGACGACGCCAGCGCCGCCAGCGCGCCATTGTCGCATGAACCAATTACGGTAACTCTCTCGACGAACCCGTCGCGACCGGAATGCGGCCTCCGGCCGCGGACGACTCTGGTGCCGAGCGAGCCGCCGACCACCTCGGAACTCTCGCCTGGACACCGCCACGCCGTCTCGCCGTTGCCGCAGCGCGATCCCCTCTGGTCGCGACTGGAATTCGGCGCGACCGAAATCCCCTGCCGAAGATTTCGGGCGGCGGGTGATCTGGGCGAACGTTCACCGCAGGCAGCGGGGGCCCGCATTCGGGCCCTGGCACGACGTGCCACGTGGGGTGTCCACCGGGGAGACGCGACCAGTGTGTCACGCGTCCCTGGCTATTCTCGCCTCCTCCTCCCCCGTCCTCCGTCCTCCCTCCTCCTCGTCCTCCTCGTGCCTCCTGCTCAGCTGGACTCCTCTTGATACGTCTCCTGTCTCCTCGTCCTCCTGCGAGGTCCTACTACTCCAAGTAGAAGGCCCGTCTGCGAGCCCGGCGGCACCGTTCCCGTCCGTCGCCGCACCACATAGTTTACACAAGTAGCTCATACCACGTAGATTGCACCATCACCTGCACAACATATAACTTGCACCGCGTATATCTTTCTACAGAGCTCGCACTGCCGAACTTATACCACATCGCAAGCACCACGTAACTTGGACCACATAGCTTGCGCCACATCGCTTGCACCGCATAGCTTGCACCATGCACATTGCGCCATGTAGATTGGATGACGTCGCTTGCATCACACAGCTTGCACCACAGAACTAGCGTGCGCCACATAGCTTGCACCGCATGGTTGCACAACCTCGCCTAAACACCTACAGTACAAGAGCTTACTGCTTGGGGCCCACGCTGGCGTGCGTCTGGACATCTGACACCATCGCTGCGTAGCAACACTTTGGGAAGCGGGGGGGCGGCATGGGGTGCACAGTCCCAGGAAAGGTCTTCAGAGGCCGAAGCTGATCACCTCCTCCTGTTCACCGCTCCCCCTCGCAGTTGTCTGCTCGGCCCAGAGCCGACGCCACTGGCCTGGCTCCTTCGAGCCGGGCCGTGCCGCGGCATCCGGAGGAGGCTGCACCGTGGCCAGGCGAAGCTGAACAGGCAAGCGCGCGGGCTGCCTTCTTCGCAGCCGTTGTGGCCCACGGGTTGCGGATGAGCGCGCGGTCGGGCCAACCGTCGAGCATTCGGTTCGCGACCTTGGCGGGGGTGGCGATGGGCTCCTCCTTGTCCTTCGGAGACCTCTTGAGACATCCGGGCTCCCACGCCAGACGCAACACTCCCGTGCCTTTTCTGTTGGCGGGAAGTCCGAACTGTTGTGGGACATCACTAACTAAACTCGGTGCAAGAACTGGCACCTCCGCCGGACGGGCCTATCGCTGCCACAGCGATCAGATGTGGCCTTGAGTCTGCCGTGCTCGGTGGCGCTGATGGACATCACTGCTCGCGTTGCTTCGGCTCTTGTTCCTCCTCCTCCTCCTCCTCCTCCTCGCCGTCGTCCTCTCCTGAGGAGACGCTGGCTATGCACTTTTCAAGCGCCGATCCAGGCTGGGGCAGTCCTGGGCCCAGGACTGGACTGACTAGGATCGGTGTTCGTGAATGGTTTGGCGGCGCGCGCAATAAAAAGGGAGGGAGGGGACGCGAGGGGGACGCGCTTCTAACTGATGAAGTGGGGGGCATGTCTGATGCCCTGAGCCTTCTTAGAGGGTCCCGGCTTTGAAGAAGGCTTCTTAGAAGCCTCAGGCCCCTTCCAAGAAGGGTCCATACCTTCTAAGGCGCCTCCCCGACTTCTTACATTGAAGGGCGCCCCCATCGCGTCACCCCCTTGTGCGCGCCGCCAGGTGGTCCTTGTGTGCGCCGCCAAGTGGTTGGCCTGCTCCTCCCCTCCCCCTCCTCCTCCTGCCGAGCCTTGGCCCCCGTGGTCCTCCGCGGCGGCGCCCGCGTCTCGCTCGGGACCTCCAGCACCTCGCACGGTGCCCCAAACTGGAGCGACACCGCAGCAGCGTTGGCGGGCGAGGCCCGACAGTGCTTGCGGGCCCCAAGCTGGCAAGAGGAGCAGAGCGGACAAACGCTCGCCGTGAGGCGACGAGCCCTTTCCGCCGCGAGCAAAAGCTGCCGTCGGCCACAGCTCCCCATCCCCAGGCATGCGATGTCCTATTTGTCTATGCGGGGTCCCTCCGAGCCTCGACCCCTCTTTCGGGGCCCGTGTCTCTCCTCCCGAAGCGTTCTCGGACGGCCCCGAGGCCCGGCGAGGGCCCCCCCGAGGCCGAAAACGGCAAAAGCCGCGCGTCCTGACTGTTGCTGAGACTGACTGCCTACCAGACCACCCCAACCCAACCCGAAGACCCGAATTTGACCCGAATTTCGGGTTGGGGGGGGGGTACGGATTCCATGTGTTTTTTCAATGTTCCCCGACCCCCCCCCACTGGAAATCGAGGATAAGTTTGGGCCTTCGGGTTGGGTTGGGGTGGTTTGGTGGGTGGTGAGAGACGCGAGCACGCCTGGGCCTGCCGTCGGTCACAGCCCCCACCCGCGCCGCCCCCCTTCGGAGTGCCCCGCGCCTCCGCCGCGAGGGGCCCGCCCGGCGCGCCCTCGGCGTCCAGCTCCAGCACAAGAAGCTCCAGCGGCGCGGCCCCGGCCGCGCTGCGGGCCGGGCGCCAGCCCTTTTATGGAGGCCTCCTGGGTGGGGTGGGGTAGGAGGAGGAGGAGGAGGAGGAGGAGGAGGAGGAGGAGGAGGAGGAGGAGGAGGAGGAGAGGAGGAGGGAGGAGGAGGAGGAGGAGAGGAGAGGAGGAGGAGGAGGAGGAGGAGGAGGAGGAGGAGGAGGAGGAGGAGGAGAAGGAGGAGGAGGAGGAGGCGGAGGAGGAGGAGGAGGAGGAGGAGGAGCAGGAGCAGCAGGAGCAGCAGGATGCGCGAGCAGGATGCAAGCGCCTTGGAAGGCCATGCTGACGCTTTGCGAGCGGGGCGCGGCCAACGAGGGCGGCCAAGGATGGACCGAGGAGGCAAGGATGCAAGGGGGCACCCTTGGGAAGGCTGCCCATCCTTACTGTGCGGGTTGACTGCAGATGGGGCCAGAGGGTCGCGCCGCATCGCCGATACCTCGGCGACACATCGCCGATGCGTCGGCGATGCACCGGCGATGCATCGGCGACGCATCGGCGACGCCAGCGCGGAGAACAACGGGCTCCGCGTCGAGCCGCCTCGCGGATGCACCGACGATGCGGCGCGATCCCCCGACCCCATCCACTATGAGGTCGGGCATGTCCCCCTGCAGGCGGATTTTGGAGGAAGAACAGAAGACCATCACACACAAATGCTCCAACATGCTCAAAACAGTCGAAACATCTCGTCCCCAGACTTTTTCATGTTCCTCTATTTGTGAGTCTTCCTCCTGTAGAGAGAGAGCAGCATGCCCGACTCGAATCCACTCGGACCCCATCGAGGAGGCCCAGACCTTAGCCGCCGGCGTCAGCAGCGCAAAGCCCACGGCGGCACCCGCCAGCAGCGCGCAGGCCGCGGCGGCAGCGCAGGCTGCGGTCGCGGCGCGCGGCCGCGGCCGGCCGTGTCCGGCGCCGCTTCGCGGCTCCCAGGGGCCGTCCGCCTTTGAGTCCGAGTCCTGGCTGGCCGCCCGGCCGGCCGGCCGGGTGGAAAGATGCCTCGCTGGCGCTGGCTGGCTGGCTGGCTGGCTGGCAGACGGTCTCTCTGGTTGAACGGATTTTTTTTTTGGGGGGGGGGTGGGGGGGAATTTTTCGTTTGTGATTTGTTTTTTTCTCGAGACTCAGGCAAGATTACTTGCATGGCGTTCGCCACACTTTTGTTTTTTAGATTCAGGCAAGTTTACTTGCATGGCGTTCGCCCCCTCTTTCGTTTGTAGATTCAAACGAGTTTGATCGCATGGCGTTTGCCCCCCCCCCCCCCCGTCCCCCCTCGCCCCTCTTCAAACGAATACGAATACTAGCGTGCAAATGTCTTTCGACTTGCGTGATTTCCGCACGTGCGAGTCGTTTGCGGCGCGCTTCGGCTTCAGGCCCCCGCCCACCCCGTCCATGCAAGTAAACTTGCTGGAGTCGAAGAAAAACAAGCTCTTGG